TAGGATCTTTGGGTGCACTTCCTTTGTCCATATCCATAGCAACAATCGGGGCAAGTTAGATCCTAGGGCAGTCAAATGTGTCTTCATAAGATACTCCTCCACACAAAAAGGTTACAAATGCTTTCATCCACCCACCAGGAAACTCTATGTCTCGGCTGATGTCACATTTGCAGAAGACAAACCATATTTCACTACACCTTATCTCAGGGGGAGTCCTATATTATGGAAGATAAGGATAAGGATCCATTCCTCTACTTGACCTATCAACAGATTCCCCATCTCCTTCTCACTCCCATCCTCAAAACCCAACATCACCTATCTCAACCATAGAACCGGTACCTCCTGATCCTGTTGTGTCACCAATACTACCTGAAAATAGGACTCTTGATCATATACAATTTGGAAAAGGGAAGACATACTCAAGGCGACAAGAACCAGCTCTCGAATCAACACAAGTTCAAATCTTCAATCCGGCTTCTGAGAATGAGGTAACAATATCTGAACCTGCTTCACTCCTACTTGTAGAAAACAAACACCCATCTCCGGAATCTCAAACCTTTGACCAAAATCTGCCCATAGCCGTGAGAAAAGGAACTCGAGAGTGTACCAAAAGACCACTATACTCTATATCTCATTTTGTATCCCTTAAAAAGTTCTCACCATCCCATAGGAACTTCCTCACGAGTTTAAATGAAACTGTTATTCCAAACACTTTGTCCGAGGCACTATCTAAGGAAGAATGGAGAAAAGCTATGAGAGTCGAGATGGATGCATTGGAAAAAAATGGGACATGGGAGTTGGTTGATCTTCCAAAAGGGAAGAAAGCAGTGGGGTGTAAATGGGTTTTCTCCTTGAAGTTCAAAGCAGATGGATCATTAGAGCGCTACAAAGCAAGGTTAGTTGCCAAGGGGTGCACCCAAACATATGGAGTTGACTATCAAGAGACCTCTACGCCAGTTGCAAAGATGAACACCGTCAGGATCTTACTATCACTAGCTGCCAATTTTAATTGGAACTTACAACAATACGATGTGAAAAATGCCTTCCTTCATGGGGACTTAGAAGAGGAAATCTATATGAGCATCCCACCCGGGTTTGAAGGAGTTGAAAAGGACAACGTATGCAAGTTAAGGAAAGCTTTGGTATGGATTGAAACAGTCACCCCGTGCCTGGTTTGGGAGGTTTACCAAGGTAATGTTAGCCACTGGATACAAGCAAAGTCAAGGAGACCACACCCTCTTCATCAAGCACTCAGAGTTAGGGGGAGTCACAGCCTTAATAGTCTATGTAGACGGCATTATTGTAACCGGGAATGATGAGAAGGAGCAACAAGTCCTAAAACAGTGTTTAATCAAAGAATTTGAGATTAAAGATTTGGGAATGTTGAAATACTTTCTTGGAAATGAGGTCATGCATTCCAAACAAGGCATATTCATCTCACAACAAAAGTATGTCACCGATCTTCTCAGAGAAACCGGAATGCTCGCAAGCAAGCCGGCCGCAAATCATAAGCTTGGAGAAGTTATTGAAGATTGAGCAGTAGACAGAGAAATGTATCAAAGGTTAGTTGGGATGCTCATCTACCTTGCTCATACTCGGCCAGATATAGCATATTCAGTGAGCGTCATCAGCCAGTTCATGCATAATCCCAAAGAGATTCACCTTCAAGCTGCCTACTGAGTGCTTCATTATCAGAAAGCTAGTCCTGGGAAGGAGATCATGTTCAAAAGAGACAATGAGCTCGTTCTTGAAGCATATACAGACGCAGATTACGTAGGTTCGCCCATGGATCGTAGGTCTATTTTAGGTTATTGCACATTCCTTGGAGGCAACTTGGTAAACATGGAGAAGTAAAAAGCAAAATGTTGTAGCCCGATCAAGTGCAGAGGCAGAGTTTAGAGCAATGGCGCAGGGTGTTTGTGAGTTGTTGTGGCCGAAAATTATATTGGAAGACTTGAAGATTAAATGGAGTGGACCAATGAGACTCTACTGCGATAATAAATAAGCAATCAGTATTGCACATAATCCGGTGCAACATGACCGAATTAAACATGTTGAGATAGACAGGCACTTCATCAAGGAAAAGCTAGAAAGCGGGTTTATCTGCACACCATACGTCTCCACAAAGAGTCAACTAGCAGACCTTTTTACAAAATGACTCAATAGTGCTACCTTCCAAGAAATAACTACCAACCTAGGAATGAGGGACACCTATTCATCAGCTTGAGGGGGAGTGTGGGAAATAGGTACTAGAGATAGGATAAACACTTTAGGAATTGGATAAAACACTTAATCCCTAGATTTTAGGGATTCAGATGACAGCAAAGTAGGATATTAGGATATCTCTTCTAGGAAGTCTCTATCTCCTAGGAGGTCTCTATTTCCTCTTATCTCTTATCCATTATCCGTGTATATAATATCCCTTTAGAGGCTCTTGCAAATGCAATTTAATAAAATATAATCATTTATTCTTTTCCACATGGTGAATACTTTTTTCTTTCAAAAAAATCACCCAATTGTTCATTAAAATATTCAGTTCCATTGCCAGAATGTAAAATACCAATTTTGGTTTGAAACTGGGTTTCAATCATTGTGTAAAAATTTTTAAACAAATTTTTTACTCATCAAGTATACCCAACATAAGCGTGTGTGGTCATCAATAAACGTGACAAACCACCTTTTTCCGAAAGAGTAATAACTCTAGAAGCCCCCCAAACATCACTATGAATTAGATAAAAAGGCTTTGAAGTTTGATAAGATTTCGGTACATATGTAGACCGATGATTTTTTTGCTAAAATGCAACTTTCACACTGAAAAGAGGAACAAACAATTCCTATAAATAGCATAGGAAACAAATGTTTCAAATAAAGAAAACTAGCGTGTCCTAGTCTAAGATGCCATAGCATGATTTGTTCTCGAACAGAAATTGAACTAATACTACTAAAGCTCTGAGCTTTTTTATTACTTGTAGAGACTTCATCAAAGTAGTAAAGACCTTCAATCATCCTAGCACGTCCAATCATCGTCCCCGAGTGCTGGTCCTGAAATTCACAATGTAATTCAAAGAAAGTGATACGACAATTAGAATCTTTGGATAGTTTACTAACTGATAAAAGATTGTAGGCTAGTTTGGGGACATGAAGAACATAATTGAGATTAATTTTCTCAGTCAATTTAATGAGTCCTTTTCCTGCAATAGGTGAAAAACTACCATCGGCAATTCTAATTTTATCATTGCCAGAACAAGGGAAATATGTGTTGAATAGGTGAGAAAAACAAGTCATATGGTCAGAAGCTCCGGAATCTATGATCCACGGAGAAGAATTTAAACAAGAGAGGGTTATAGGCTTTCTACCTGTTTGTGCCAAGGAAACACTAGGAATACCGGATGAGAAATTGGACTTTATCAGTGTCAAGAGTTGATCGATTTGCTCCTTGTTGAAAGGACCCAAGTTTTGCTCCTTGTTGAAGGAGCCCGAGTTGGCTTCATTTGATGCGGGAAACCTTGGAGGACCACGGTTGTTCTTCTCCCCTGACTTGTTGTTTTTCCAATTTTCTGGATTGCCATGAATCTTCCAACACGTCTCACGAGTGTGACGTGGCTTTTTGCAAAAGTCACACCAAAGTCGAGACTTCTCATCATCCCTGCGCTGATAGTTTGCAGTCTTATAGGCAGCAGCATCACTCCTTCGGCTTTCTTCCCTTCTAACTTCGGCAAAAATTTCACCAATGGATGGGAGAGGATGCCTTCCAATAATTCTTCCACGCACTTCATCGAACTCATTGTTGAGGCCAGCAAGAAACTTGTAAATCCGGTTATCCTCCACAGTCTTCTTATGGTGATTGCAATCATCAGTAGATTTCCATTCATAGGTATTGAAGAGATCAAGGTCTTGCCACAGTCTTTTCAAGGAATTGAAATATTTGGTGACAGAATCTTCCCCTTGCCGAATCTCTCCCAATTTCAGAGTTATCTCAAAAACCTGAGATTGATTTCCTAGGTCAGAGAACATCTGACTAACATTATCCCATAATTCTTTTGCTGTGGGATAGCACATGTAATTAGAGCTAATATCCTCATCCATGGAATTGACCAACCGTGTCACAACCATGGAATTTTCTGCGTCCCAAGTAGCATATGATGGATCATCAACTGCAGGCGCCTTCTTGTCCCCGGTGATGTAACCGATTTTTCCTTGCCCCCAAATATACATCCGGACAGATTGAGACCAGCGGAGAAAATTGTTGCCGTTTAGACAAATAATGGTGATCTGGACCGAATGAGTGCTGGGATGGGTGGAATGGTTCGGTTGAGTTTCTGAGGTTTTCTTTGGTGCAGCGGCAGCAGGGCTTGTGGTAGCTTCCGATGTGACCTCAGGCATGGCTACGTTTGGACGGAGGAAAGGAAAGGTTTTTAGGGTTCTAGACACGTTGAAGAGTGAGGGGCTCTGATGCCAACTTAGAAGATAGGATGAAATTGTGTCTAGAATAATATTATTGAATGAATACAATGCCCTCTTTATAAGTAAGAGGAAGTACACGGGATTACACAAAAAAGGAAAGGAATAAAATAAAATATTGACAGTTTCCTATTCCCTATTCTACTGTATTGACTTTCCATATTTACATTAGATACACATCCTAATATTCTTCTAGGATCATGACTAAATCGGGATAAAATCCCTAATTGACTCTCTGCCGACATGCAGCATATATAGAATCATAATGACAAGAGTTCAACTGGCCATTGGAAGGTAAACATGTGTGCATAATTAACTATCTCAAGAGGTTACTTGGATAAAAAGAAAACAAATGAAGTTCATTATGCAAACTGTGAAGTTCATCCATACTTCTCTATTAAGTTGAAGCTGTTTATGCAATCTTAACTATCTATCACAAGGGGAAACTAGGGGAAACTTACATAAGGGGATTGAAGATAATTGAAATTTTATTGTGTAATGTTATCAGCAATTGGAAGTTGAGATGAAGATAAACATACTTGGTAAAGCTTGATCTCTGACTTGTCAAAACCTGGCATGAGAAGAGTTACTGTCTTTTTAGCAGCATCAAACTCTACAGGTGACAACTTGCCGCTACTGCTGCTTGCAGGCATTGAAAGAAGATTTCTCGCGCCTTCACTGACGGTGTTCAGCATAATTGAATTCCAGTCCAGAGCGGAACCAATTGAGAGATGGGGAATAAAGCCAAAAGGTAATGGAGAAAATGTTTCCTTAACTCTTTCCATTGATTCCACATTTGAATGTGGAGAAGCCATGCTCAATGCACCAGAAACATGTGCACCGGCTTGCATTGCGCAACCCCAATAGCGCAGCGCAGAATTTATGGAGATTTTATTGTCTGGGTCCATCACTAGGAAGCAGCCAAACTTTTGGGGTTCTGAGAATGCCGAAGATCCTCTCTGCACCACAGATAACCAAGGAGAAGCTAAATGAATTAGAGCGAGACTGTGATTGTGGAAAATTTAAATGAGGACTGGCATTTACCTCCAACATTCGTTCCAAAGCGTCCCAAATCTCTGCACTTATTTGCCCGTTGAGAAGGGAAGGTCTGTCACTAATATCCATGGCTTCATCTACAAGTCGCAGAATTGAAGGACCAGCTAACCTCCCAAGATCAGTCTTTTCAGCCACATTACGCAGGGATTTCAAGTACAATCTGTGTAAGTCTTGTTATTCAATACATGTCGGCGTAAGAAAGATAGAGAGATGGATAGAGAGAGAAAGATCGCACAACCTTGCTTTACCAGCTGAACTAATCATCCTTAGCATTTCCTCGGAGCTCATACCATCATATATTATTATGTCAAATTTATCTTTACCATGATTTTTCTCAGCAACCTTCCTAAAAAATCGCACAAGCCTCTCGAGTGCATATGCAGAAAAAATAGGATCCATTCCGGGAAGCACTCCAAGCTCTTCTCCTACTATCTGCCACAACACAACATAAAAAAAGGTAATAATAAAAAACCCATAACTTGCTCCACAGATAAAGAATTTAAATGAAAATTATACCCTTTGGATCAAAGATATCAAGTACCTACCTTTTCAAGAACTCCTTGGGTCATGTTAAGGCGGGCATCTGCTTGCTTTAGGCGATTAAGAGGTTCAAGAAGCATCTGGGATTTATCAAAGACAGGCTAAGTACAAGCCAAAATCAACTTCATAAAGGAGGGAAACAAAAACAAAAGTTGAAAAACACACTTTGGTGGTTTCGAACCTAAGAGCCGAAAGGTTGCTGTTGCAAGCAATCGGAGTAGTTCCAATCTTACAGTTCAAAAGGAATTCAGCAGTAGGGTCTTGTGTATGTATCACCAAGCATGTGCTAAGCCCAGCCATTGCATAATGCTGCCAATGTAGTATGTTTCAGGAAAAAAGAAAAAGAAAAAAAAAAGACACAAATCACAATAGTGAAATCTGATGCTAAATTCTGAATGAGATTCAGCTAAATAACAAATTGTTGGGCTACATAAGAAACCTTAATTTCTATACTCCTAAACAATTTTGAGACATTTTAGGTCCCGTTCATTTTGCCGATTCGAATTTAAAATTTAAGTTTTGCTACAATAAAAAAACTCTCAGAAATAGTCATATCTAAATTTTTTACTACTATAAAAAGCTCTCACGTCACATCTTAACTCAAATTAAAAACTTGAATCAGTAAACTAAACGCCTAAAAAAAATGAGAAGATAAGCCACAAAAATCAATCCTGATAAATTCGAGCTAAAACTTCACATAATCATTTTCACCTTCCATAGTCTAAGTGAAATCTAATTCTGCCCAAATTACTTAGAACCAAGTAATTCAATTCAATCGATCTTACAGTTTGACCCCAATTCCCACTATTTTGTTCACATTTTCACTTCTGGGTAGCCATGAAACAAGCACATTCTTTTTTTTTTCCTTTTTCCTAACCTCACAGATAGATTGGAATTCCAAACCAAGTATTGCCCTTCATCGCATCAAACATAGAAAAATCAAAGAAATGCAGAAACTCCAAGGAACAGTACGTGAGCAGCAAAAACAGCGGAGGTTGTCTTCCCTGAGCCGCCCTTGCCTAAGAAAGTGACCAGCTTGGTCGAATCGTCGCCCTTTTGTGGGGTCGCCATGGCAGTCACCAAAAATGAACCTTGGATTCTTCTGCGTACAGTGGCTGTGCGAGCTCCATAAGAAATGGGAAGTTTTGTGAGGATTGAATAAGAATAGAACGAAGCCATTTTTTTGCGGAGCTTCTTTATCTGTTACTAGTTGGGCTTCTATGCGAGTGTGGGGAGAGTTTTAACTAACTGTATTATTATTGGGAAAAGTAAAAATATTGGTGATCCTTTTTGGATAATCAAATAGATAATTTTCGAATTTTTCGACTAAATTTGGTGATATTTTCACAATTAATCAGTGTGTGCTACATATGTGTGTGTGTGTGTGTGTGTGTCTATATATATATATATATATATACACGGGGCTTTCTACAATCCCTCGGTTTCCAACCGACGGACAGTCCCTCCTTTGTTTTTCTGATCGTTAAGATTGTATCCAGCAGTTTTTGTCGAAGAAAGGGTAATGAGTTGGCAGTTTACTTGTTAGGGATGGCAATCGGAGGATTATTATTTCCCATCCCATCTCCCCGTTTTTCAAGGGGATGTTTGGTTGAAGGATTCAAACCATAATTTGAATCATAGTTCATAGTTCGTTATAGTATTTTCTCTTACAAAAAATACATGTAAATCAAAAATAATTCTAATCACATGATTCTAATCCATGAACCAAACGTCTCCTAAATTATCCTCATTCCCGTCCTCATCTTTGCATAAGAAAGAACGGGATTAGAGTCGGAGATTTTTTATTGAGGGAATTTTATTGTATTTTAAAATTATAATAACTTAAAATAAAAATAGAATAAAAAATTCATTATAAATTTAGATCAAAATGAATGATTCCATAATAAAAATAAAATTTTTAACATATTGTCAACTAAATTTAAAAATAATAATTAATGCATAAGTAAAAAAAGTTTAAAAATATTAAAATAAAAACGTAAATTATCCTTTTGTACCTATTCCTAATAGTTTTAAAAAAGGATGAGGAGGCGCTAGATATGCATCCATATGTGTATATATAATATATGAGAAGATTAATAATTGTTATTTTTTTCTCGGTATGAGCAACTATAATCGGTAGTTTTTCTTTCTCAATTAAAAAAATGCAATTATTATTTTTTTAAGTAAAAAATAATATCGGACAGAGACGGAGTAAGAAGTACTTCTCCGGTCCTCGTCCGGCCTTAGAGACTAGGGAGACGTTTGGTTCATAGATTAAAATCATGATATTAGAATCATTTTTAATTTACGTGTATTTGTAAGAGAAAACACTATAACGAACCTTTTTTTGTGGGTACTGAGAGTGTAAGAGAGTTGATGATACTGGTTTGATGGACCAAATTCGGGGCAAAAGAAAGAGAAAAGCCCTCCCACGAAAACCCCTCATCTATACCGTTTGGAAAAAAGTCAAAACTTTGAACAGCTGGTTTAGTAAATATATAGTTTGAATTATATTTTCTGGTTGAATTGAGTTAAATGATTTAATTTAGAGTTTAGTTATCTCTTAAGCTTAACCGTTTAAACTATTTTTAAACAGTAAAATATACCAATTCTCTGCTTTTCACACTATCAAATACAAATTTAAATTTTATTTCATGTTTAAATTAAAACTTATCCAAATGTCAATTCAAACTACATAATTTGAATTTTTCTATTTAAGTCAATAAAATTCAAATTAAACAGACGCTTAATTATTCTCAAAGAACGATCAATGATAAAGCTCAGTGTTGCGTCGTGGACTCGTGGATGGAGAAAAGCATGGGTAATTACTAACGCAGTGTAACCATAAAATTTGTCTGAAAATAAGGAAATGAAAAAAAAAAAAAAAAAAGAAGAAAAAGATTAGACATAAAAAGAAAAAAGAAAAAAAAAGATTAGACATAAAATGTGAAAGGGAAACTAATTGTTAAATTTATGTACAGTGTAACCATGTTATATGGCTTAGATTGTATTTCTTATGGTTCGTTTTTCTCTGTTTGATTGTTTTGTTTTGTTTTTGTTTTTGTTTTTGTTTTTGTTTTGTACTGATGTTATGGGCTTATTTTTCTCCTCTTTCTTTTCTGTGTTCCTATACAATAATGTGTGTATTTTTTTTTCCTCTGTTAGTGGTTGGAGGAATTTTTTTATGTTAAAGAAATTGTTTTTATTTTTAACCATAGCTTTTATTTTTTAATTCGCAATAGCTTAATTATGCAATTGTAAATTCTCTTATCCTGGATAACGTAGAGCTAAAAAGTGTCATGATAAATATCATATTTACCTTTAAACATGGTATTTACCAACAGTTAGTACCGATATTTACACTTGAGACTGATAAATACTACATATTACCTGTAAATACCACCTTCAGCATTGACAATGACGCTACAATCGGTAAATATCTTGTTTACCCGTATATATAGTATTTACTAGTCACTAATTGCGGAGACTGACGCTAATATTAGCGATCAGTAAATATCATATTTATCTATAAATACGGCCGGCAACACTGATGCTAAAGCTAGTGATCGGTAAATATCATATTTACCGGTCACAAGCCGTCAGTACTGATGTCGATACTGACGACCAATAATATAGTATTTACCGGTAAATACGGCTGCTGGCGTCGATGATCGGTAAATTATTCTTGATGACCTTTTGCCTCGTAGACATCATAGGCCATGAAAATTTTTCACGATTTTTCACGATTTTTCAGTACATTTTACTCTGCTTGTTACGCTTTATTAAACTATATGTTTCGTCTTCTGCATTTAGTGTTACTATGTCGTTTTCTGAGCCTATATAGGGAAGGTGATCAAATATTACCGAAATTTTGAATTAACCCCGGTGTTTTTTCTTTCTTTTTTCTTTGGAATGCTTCGATTTTTGTATATTCTAGGTTTTGATATGTGATTGTGAACGTTTGTTTGTTTTATGATGTAGCAAAAAATAGGTAGGCAAAAAGAATAAAAGAGACAATAGGTAGGCAAAAAATAAAAGAGAGAAGAAAAATATAAAAAAGTCTAAAAATGAAAAAAATAAAAAAATAGAGAAAATAAAAAAAAATAAAAAAATGAGGTCAACACATGACCTCTTTAGAAGCCAACTCCCAACATAAAGAATAAATGAGAGGATGATATATGACTAAAGAAGAAACAACCTCTTTACTTTTTTATGTATGTTTAGAAAAGTAAAAAGAATGGTAATAGTAATAGGAATGGTAATGGAATAAAATGAAAAGGAAAGATAATTCATTTATTTGGTTCTACTTTTACAAATGTAATAAAATGGGATATGAATATTTTTATGTTGACAAAATTACCCCTCATGTTAATATAACTAATATCATATATATTAATATAATCATTTAATAACTAATATTATATATGTAAAATTATAAGGATATAATATATATAATTATAATTATAGTTATATAATTATTTATTATTATAATACAATCATAATATATAATATATCACAATTATATTGTATATTATATTATATTTATAATGATAAATATAATTATAATGTATAATACGTAATATAAGATATTATTATAATATTAAATATGATATATTATAATACACCTATATAATTATAATATATTATAATACACCTATATAATTATATTATATTATATTATATGTTACAAGATATAATTACATTATTTTATTATAACTATCATATTATAAATATTAATATAATAATTATAATATTTAAGGGTAATGATGGAAAAGAAAATTAGAAGAGCTTGGAATGAGTATTTTTCTCATATGAGGAAGGAATGATGATTCACCCATTTGATAGAAAAGTCATTCCATTTTGAATGACTATTCTTTTTCTTAAAACCAACAACACATGAAAATGAACCTTGATTCCTTTTCATTCCTCCCAACCAAACACACCCTAAATGATAGGATGACACATGACTAAAGGAGAAACAATCTCTTTGACTCTTTTATGTATGTTTAGATAAAAAAAAGGTTTAAAAATGAAAAAGAGAACGAAAAATAGAGAAAAAAAGGAAAAAAAGAAAAGAAAAATGAGGTCAACATGTGACCTCTTTAGAGGTTAACTCCTTAGCTTTTTTAAGTGTGTATAAATATATATCGTGGATACTAGATACCTATATTTTGATTATAGTTAATTGCATTGCTGCACCTTTAACTTTTAGTGTTTGACAACTTCGGTCGTGAATTTTCAATTTTGACAAAAAACACCGTTTGAAATTTTATTGTAACTATGATTCAATGACTAATAAATGTCAATTAGTAGACGAAAATTGTTAAAAAAATTTACACAAATGCGCTTTAAACTTTTTCGTTGCTTGCTTTGCAATTTGCATAAAAAGCTTTTCGAGTAGATTCTAAGACAGTTTATCTTTGAATCTTTTCGGCTTACTATTAACCAATGCTTCAGTATCCGAATTAATGACCCAAAATAAAGGAGTGGACTTTAAACCATCAGAAGTTCCTTTATAGTGTCATTTTACATTTCTTTGGTAAAGTGAGAAATTGGTCTGGTAATAGACCACACATAAATGATTCCTTTTGAAGAATGAAAGTATGAAAATCAGCTTGGCAAAGGCTCAATTAACAACATAATAATATATGCTTGAGTACTACTGAGAGCCCCAGCTTAGGAAAGAATGATATCATTGGTCCATTGGATGATTAATTACAAACATAGTTAAGTTCATGAGGGGGAAAAAAAAGTTTTCCTTTAATCTACTTTACACATTCCCCTTCCATCTTGTTCTCAAACTTGGTGTTAATGAAAAGAATTATGTTGGATTAGACATGAGAGTCATAGCTAGCTCAAGTGTAAAAAGAAATCTTCCAAAGCCCTGTTGGCATGCAAAATCATGACCACCAAATTATTAAAAAAACAAAAAGAAAAGAAAAGAAAAGAAAAGAAATGGTGATGACCAAGTGGGACAAAGACCACAACTACTACTTCCGTGATCCATTCTTAAGATATTGGCGTATCATATATTAAGCAAATTAACTTCATACAAAAAACTTTTGAGTAATCGCAAAAATCATTTTAGATTGAAAAAATATGCATAATATATATTTTTTGATATAAATTTAACGTTGAAAAATAAAAAACTACTGATAATTTATTTTTTCTGTTCCTATCAGAAAAACTCCCAACAATATTGCGTTAAATTAGTTTGCATGATTTTCAGTTAGTGGAGTGGGAAGAGTAGTGTAAGGAACTACCCAAGGAGTCCTTTGGGGCATCTCGGAAAGCTGATTTCCATTAATGTCGTCGTCAATTATGCCTGGAAAACTCCGGTGG